GTGCTTTGGGGGTGAGATTTCTCTGCGGCCCACCAAAATTTTCTCACGGCCCACCAGTTGGCAACCGCTGCTCCAAAGCATCTGAAGGCAGGAGAAGAAGCAACGGATGGAAACTTAATCAAGGAGAGAAGCAACCTGGAGAAACTTCCTGATAGTGAAGACAGCTAATCAGTGGAACACCTTCCCATCAGAAGTTGCGGGTGCTCCCAACACTGGGAGTTTTTAAGAAGATGTTGGACCATCATTTGTCTAAAATGCTATATAGGGTTTCCTTCCTGAGCAGGGGGTTGGACTAGAAGACCTCCAAGGTCCCTTCCAGCTCTGTTATTCTGTTCTTTGATATAACTTAAATATTTGCATATGCAAGTTGTTTTTTTTAAAGAGTTACAATGGTCTGTTCTACTGGGAAGGAAATCTAGGGAGCGGTTCCCAAATCACATTTGCACAGAAGAAAACAGATCTTTGGGTTGTGTCATTGTTTTCCAAATCATTGACTTCATTAATTAGGGATTCTAGGATAATTAACTCCTAAGGGCCCAGTTCCAAAGAGCTCAGTGAGGGTTGCAGGACCAGTGGGGTTTTTTTTTCTTGTTTTTCTCTCAAAATAATAAAGACTTCCAGAATCTTGCAAACCTGTTTTTTGAATTTCCACTCATTTCACTATTCTATTACCATGGGAAGTACAGTTTTTGAGTGAAGGAGACTCAGAGAATTGCCCAAAGTCGACTTCCTGAATTACTTTACTGATAATTCTTGGTTATTCGTTTCAGAATTAATTGAAGCTGAGCATTGGAAATTCTCCTTGGTGCATGTTTGATGGATGGTCGTGTCAGGAGTGCTTTCTGAGCTTGGTTTTTCTTTTTTTGCAGACGTTTTCATGACTCGCCTAAATAATATCAGGGCTAGAAGTGAGTGGGGTTCGCAGAGGAAGGAAGAGGAAGGACTGTGGGGCCCTTGGTGCTCTCTCAGCATGGTTGTTTTCTTGCAGACATTTCATGACCCAGCTAGGTAGCATTGTCAGTGCTAGAAGATAGGGGGTTTGCAGAGGGAGGAGGAGGAGGAAGAGTTTGGGGTCCTTGGTGCTCTCTGAGGTCCATTGTCTTCTTGCATATCTTTCATTACCAAACTGGATAACATCATCAGTGCTAGAAGGCAGGGAGGAGAAGGAAGAGGACTGTGGGGTCCTTGGTGCTCTCTGTTTGGTTGTTTTCTTGCAGACGTTTCATGACCCAACTAGGTAACGTCTTCAGGGCTAGAAGGGAGTAGAGGTTGCTCTCAGTTTATACAGAAAGATCGTCCTTGTCCGTGTTGGTAGGAATGTTCTTGGCGGTTCTTTGATTGGGCTGTGATTTGCTGTTTAGCTTGTTGGTCCGAGCTGCTAGTTCCTTGGTCGTCCTGCCAAAACGAACAGAGCAAGCCACTTAACATGTAAACAGAGAGCAAAACTCCACTCCTGTTGCACTGATGGTATTCCCTAGTTGGGCCATGAAACGTCTGCAAGAAAAATACCAATCTCACACACTGACAAAAGCATCAAGGAGCCTGCATCCTCTTCCTCCTCCCCTTCCTCTCCTCCTCCTCTCCACAAACCCCACTTTTTCTAGCACTGATGATGTTCCCTAGTTGGATCATGAAACGCCTGCAAGAAAACGATTATGCTCAGAGAGCAACAAGGACCCCACAGTTATCATTTTCCTCCTCCTCGTCCTCCTCCTCCTCCTCCCCTCCCCCCCCGCCTCTCCACAAATCCCCCTCCATTGATAATGTTCTCTAGTTGGGTCATGAGACGTTTGAAAGAAAAGAACTGTGCCCTGAGAACACCAAGGACCCCAGTTTAAGCCTAAACTAGAAATAAGTCTCTTCTATTAATGCTTTATTATCCTTTGTCTAACAACTTGTCTACAGATTCTTGTTCATCTCTCCTCTGAATTTACATACATCTTTTTCAAAAGACACAATATTTGCTTCCACAAACTCCCACGATGCAGTTGCCACTTTTCTGCTGCGAAATTAAATGCAACCTTGGTTGTTGTTTTTTGGTAACCCAAATATATTCAGTAAACAGAATCAATAAGAAATGCTGGTTGCAGCTACAGTGGGGAATTCCCCCCCCCCCCCTCTCCTGGAGCTTTGGCTGTCCCAGATAACTGATTGCTTTTTCCTTTGGTCAGCCGGTGAAAAAGAAGAAAATTAAACGAGAAATAAAAATCCTGGAGAACTTGCGAGGTGGCCCCAACATCATCACCCTTGCCGATATAGTAAAGGATCCAGTGGTGAGTTATTTTGATGGGTGGCAAGTAGGTGGGCTGAGGGAATACAGGGTCCAAAGGCATTGGGTTTTTTAAATTTAATTTAATTTTATGTATAAAAAGATAAAGAGAATAACATTAGTATCCCCCTCTCTCATCTATATCTGTCTGTCTACCTATATCCATCTGTCATTCTATATAATGACATAATGACTAGAAATAAGGAGAAACTTTCTGACAGAACAATCAACCCATGGAACAGAAGTTGCCTTGGAAGTTGTGGGAGCTTCATCTCTAGAGACTTTCAAGAAGAGATTAGACTGCCATTTGTCACAAATGGTGTAGGGTCTCTTGCTTGGGTTGGGGTTTGGACTAGATGACCTACAAGGTCCCTTCCACCTCTGTTAATCTGTTATCTGTTATATCGTCAGCCTACATCTCTCTCTGTGTCTGATCTATCTATATCTGTCTGTCTGCCTGCCTATCCTATCTCATCACTTGAGACTTTCAAGAAGAGATTGGACTCCCATCTGTCAGAAATGGTGTAGGGTCTCCTCGTTGGGCAGGGGGTTGGACTAGATGACCTACAAGGTCTCTTCCAACTCTGATTATCTGTTATCGATCTATCTATCTCTATTTTTATTTTTCTATCTTATCTCTACGGTATCTATATCTGTCTTACCTCTTTCTCTTGTCTATTTATCATCTACCTATTTATCATCTATCTACCTATCTACCTCTATCTATCTATCTATCTATATCTATCTATCTATCTATCTATCTATCTATCTATCTATCTATCTATCTATCTATCTATCTATCTATCTATCTATCATCTATCTATCTATCTATCT